AGATCTTTTCACATTGATATAATTGGGAGTTCTGTTAGTATCATTTACGCAGAATTCCAGTTCCTTCCACAGGTTTTGGAAGTTCTCAGCTGTTATTTCTTTGAACCAGCTCTCTGCTCCTTTCCCCCACTCTTCTCCCTCTTGAATACCTATAATTCTTATGTTGCATTTCCTAGTTGAGTCGGATATTTCTCAGAGAATTTCTTCATTTCTTTTTAGTCTTATTTCTCTGTCCTCCACCTGAAGCATTTCTATATTTTTGTCCTCTAAATTACTAATTCTGTCCTCCAGAATATGAGCTCTGTTTTTTAAGGATTCTGGATTTTTCTTTATCTCATTCATTGTGTTTTTCATCTCCAATATTGCTAATTGTTTTTGTTCTATAGTTTTAATCTCTTTTGTGAAGACTTCCCTCTGATCACTAATTTTATTCCTGAGGTTATTGAACTGTCTTTCTGAGTTTTCTTGTAACTCATTGAGTTTCCTTATGGTAACTATTTTGAATTCTCTATCATTTAGGTTGTAAATTTCTTTGACTTCAGGATTGATTTCTCAGTACTTGTCATTTTCCTTCTGGTCTAGAGTGTTAATATATTTCTTCATGCTATTTGACAGGGTGGACTTGTGCTGTTGCTTAGTGGTAATTCTGGTCGCAGATTCCACCTGCCACCACTTAGAGTAGGGGCAGCAGCTGTGTTTTCTGAGCTCACTGCAACCCCTGGCAGATGTGCCTGTCTGTTGGAAGCTGTATCAACAAGGCCTGTCTGCATTCGCCCACTGGCTGCTGCTGCTTTACACAGATAAGCACAGTTGCTCTGGCAGGGATCCCCTGCTCTGGCTGACGGGCTAAGCTGATGCTCCAGGTTGGAGGTGGGAGGGGCGCTGTCTTTTGTGTGTGCAATCTCATGGGCTCCCACTCTGCACTCACTGTCTGCCTGCCTGGGCTGCTTGGCTTGGGGTGGGTGCCCCCACAATTGCTTAGCCTCTTTGGTGTAGAGTGTTCCTGCAGGCTGGGAAGCAACTCTCAGAGTGCAAGCATTCCTGCCTTCTCCCCCTTCTCCTCTCACAGTCATGTGCCAACTGCCACATGAGGTCCTGTGCCCTAGAGGGGTGCCACTTGGGAGGGAGAGGAAATCTACTTACCTCCTTCCACTGCCTCCCAGTGGGGTCAAACACTCCCACCGGGGTCAAACACTCCCACCTTCAGACGTTTGGCTGTGTGGATCTCTCAGACGTCTATTGTGTTGTGTGAATGTCCTCTGTTGGTTTATGAATGTCTTTTCATTGTATCTTAGGGGAGAGAAAGTAAGGGAAGAGCTCACTCTGCCATGATGCTGACATCACTCTTTACTTATTGTTAATCATTTAAAACACACTTATTTTGAAATCTTTCAGACTCCCAGAGCAAGAAAGCTTCTTTGTCTTCCTTTGCATACTTTGCTAATCGACTTTTTTAGTGAAGATATAGCCCTTTGAACATTCTCAGGTTTACTCACAAAAAATTTTAACATTCTGTCTTATTTGGGTCTGGTGCCTCTTAGCCTGTCCACATATGAGTACTAAAATTTCAGTCCCTAGATTACCAAGAAACTTCACCCAGCTGCCAACCTCATCCAGATTAACAATGAGAGTAGAAATCATGAAGCCTTAGGGAGGGCCCAGGACCAAACCCAGAGGTATGCCAGCATTTAGAGGTCAGACTCAGAAAGGGAAGAAAACAAAAGAGGCCAAGAAGGTGTGGTAAGTAGGAAGAAAAGAAAACCAGAAGAGTGTGATAGCACAGAAACAAAGAGAAAAGAGTGTGTCAAGAAAGAGGGAGTGGCTAACTGTGCCAAATACTGCTATGAGGTCAAATAAAATGAGGACAGAGAAGTGATGACTGGATGTGGCAAGAATGGGAGGGGAGGAAGTGGAAGCAGTGATTATGGACAGTTCTTTTGAGACTATCTGTGAAGGGGACAGAAAAATAAGGTAGAGGAGATGGTGGATTGGGATCAAGGGAGAGCTTAAAAATAAAGGAGGTACTATATACTAGAGTGTATTTATGTACTATTAGGAATAATTTAGAGGAGATAGAATATTAGAATACAGAAGAGAGAGGTGGGTAAGTTTTCTGCAATGTCCTTGAGAATGTGGGAGGGATGCATTCTCTGACTGGAGCCAGGATATGCCATCCACTGTAACAGAAAGAATGAAGAGTAGGGGGCCAACAGAGGATGATCAACAGATTGGAGGTGGGGAAACAGGGAGTTCCAGTCAAAGAATGTAAGTTAAGGTCATTGGCTGAGAGTAAGGGCAGGGATGGAAGTCTTGGAAGTGAGAGGAAAGGCCAGGTCTGAAAAGGTCATTTGTAAAGTGAGTAATATTAGTGATCTTTAGTGACTTGCAGTGTGAAATTAAAATTCTCTTTGCTTCCAGATTCCCAGATCTTAAAGAAGAGTTACTGGGGCTGGCCTGGTGGCACAGTGGTTAAGTGTGCACATTCTGCTTTGGCGACCTGGGGTCTGCTGATTCAGATCCCGGGTGTGGACATGGCACCACTATCAAGCCATGCTGTAGCAGGCGTCCCACATATAAAGTAGAGGAAGATGGGCATGGATGTTAGCTCAGGGCCAGTCTTCCTCAGCAAAAAAAGAGGAGGATTGGCAGCAGCTGTTAGCTCAGGGCTGATCTTCCTAAAAAAAAAAAAAAAGAAGAGTTACCGTGTTTGAGTACATTGGCTTTTCTGAGGAGTATAAGCTATGGGCACTTGAGAACCTGTTATAGCCCAGAATGTCAGTGCTCACTGGTGTAGCCCAGAGGCGTGTGGGCAGGACATGAAAGAACTGAGGTGAGGGCATCCCTATGCTTGGTGTGAAGGCCACTGGCCCTTCTCACTTGTGTTCCTTTGGCCCTCTGAGGAAAGAAATATAATGGTGTGAAGTTCCGGGATCCTACACCCTTGACTATGTCTAACATCCCGACTTCTGACCAAGTGGGTAAGCCTGAGATATAATGGTAAGATATTTACTTTTCTACAAAGTAAAAACAAAAGAGTTCATTTAAAAAGGTACCCCTTGATTACATCAAATGGGATTGTTTTAAGATTTTTTAAAACAACTTTATTGAGACATAGTTCACATACCATACAATTCACTCATTTAAAGTATAAAATTCAGGGATTCTTAATGCATTCACAAAGTTGGGCAACCATCAACACAATAATTTTTAGAACATTTTTACCACTCCATAAAGAAACCCCAAGTCTTCGCTATTGAATGAAGAAAATGTGGTATACAGTGGAATACTACTTAGCCATAAAAAAAGACAAAATAGTGCCTTTTATGACAACATGGATGGACCTTGAGGGTATTATGCTAAGCAAAATAAGTCAGACAGAGAAAGACAAATACTGTATGATTTCACTCATATGTGGAGGATAAACAAACACATAGATACAGAGAACAGATTGGTGGTTACCAGCAGGGAAGGGGATAGGGGGAGAGTGAAAGGGATAAAGGGTGCATGTGTGTGGTGACAGATGGCAACTAGAGTTTTGGTGGTGAACACGATACAGTCTACACAGATGCTGAAATATAATAATGTACATTTGAAATTTATACAATGTCATAAACCAATGTGGCCTCAATAAAATAATTTAAAAAAAAAGAAACCCCATAGCCATTACACATGTAGCCTTCCGTGCCTGACTTCTTTCACTTAGCGTGATGTTTCCCAGGTTCACCCGTGTTGCAGCATGTATGAGTACTTCACTCCCTTTTGTAGCCAAATAATATTCTATTGTGTGGATATGTCACATTTGATTTGTTCATTCATCAGTTGATGGTCGTTTGGATTATTTCCACTTTTAGATTACAGATGTTTTTAAAACAACTCAAAACACAGTTTCTTGACTCACTGTTCCAGTGGGGAAATGCACACCAGACTCACTTTGGTTAAAACCTGGGTTTGTGGCTAGTGCTGACAGGGGCCTACCACACCTGCCCCTCCCTGTGACATCATGCCACAGCGATGCCCATCATGACGAATAATGTTCAATTAAGACTACACGCTGAATTGAATATGAGTCTAACTTTTCTTGACATACTTGTCAATTTGGCTTTAAAATCTATCCTGAGAAAACGACAATCAAACCTGACAGGCCACAGTCTAGCTTCGGTTGAGTCTAGTTTTTTAAAACTCCATGACTCAATGTTGCCCCATTGTGCAACATTTTTCTAATTTGATAAATTGACCTTCATTGTATGATCAGATAACGACATGAAAAATATTGATTTTGCAACAGGTTATAGTTGTATCTTGGAATCATCTTAATACCAGGTGCAGGAGGTAAAACTTGTTTATTTGACATCAGTTTAGGGCAAGTTTCCCCCAAAGACATGATGAACAATGGGTGGATCCCAGTCCCTGGAAGTTCACAGCCTCCAGGGGTCCCTGTGCGCCCTCACGGCATCCTCCTGTTTCTCTGGTTTATCTCTTGCTGTTGGGAGCCCGGGCAGAGAAGACCAAAGGGAAGCGGACGTTGCCTGAAGATCAGCAGGCCTAAACCCTGACTCTCCAAATCTTGGGCAATGTGAAGATAATGTTACAGCAAGTGTCAAGCCTCAATCCACTGGAAAAAGAAAAACAGAAGTGATTGTGTTCTCTGGAAGGCAAGGATCTGAGTGCAGAGTCTCATGTTTTCGAACTAGGAAAGTGTCCACAGCTAATATTTGGATGGGCCCACATCACACAGCTTTCTCATTGAAGCCTGGGTCTGTCCCATCAGAGACAAAGGGCCCTTGCTGTGCACCTGTGGAGAGGGGAATTTAGCTAAAGGAAGGCAGGGCCAGCCTCTTAATGCTCTTCTTGTTTGAAGCAGAGTTTTGCAAAGGGAGCGGCTCTGGAAGTAAAGCAGAGCATGGAGTGTCTGAGCCTGGAGTGTTTTGAAATGCATCTGCTCTAGAAACCCTCTGTCGCTGGGCCTTCCATGTAGGCTCATTCCCCATTCCTCCACCCAGGACTGCTGACTCTTCCATACGCTGCCAAGGACAACACTGGCCAGTGGAAATGAAGTGTTTGCTGACCCACGAGCCTGGGGTGACATGGAGCTTTCACTAGTAGAGAAGGTAAGGGGAAAACGCAAAGAAAACACTGTGTTGTAGCCTCGAGAGTTTCTTCTGAAGGCTGTAGCCCAGCACAGTAAACACTCACAAATGCATCAGGACTGTGCTAAGCACTGGGCATCTCTCAGAGAGCGCGAAGACAACAGTGGGGTCAGAACACGTGAAAATGTGCAGCAGAGGAAAGACAGCCGAGCGCAGGAATAGAACTGAGCAAGGGGTGATGAACTGGGTGAGGGGAAGGAGGGAAGCAAAAGGGATGACAGTGGTAGGTTTTTAAGGGATCAGAAATCACCCTGTAGATAACATAGGGGCAAGAGGATTGTGGGATGAAGGTCAGCATTCCAGACAGAGGCCGGGGCAGGCGATGGCCGGGGCAGGCAACGGCATGCCGTGTGTGAGCGTGTGGGTGTGTGAGCGTGCTTACTGATGTTTTTGTGATTATACAGGTGATTTGGTGAGCTGATCTGCAGAGTCTTGTGGATATTTAAACACTTCCCCTATCAACACTTGTCACTTCTTATTAAAATTAGTCGTTAATTGTCAGTCTTCTCAGTAGGTTATAAAAATCATGTCTATCTTGATTAACCTTAAGAAGATTTGAGTAAATGGAGAGACATATTCCATGTCCCTAGATGAAAAAACTTAATGTTGCAAAAACATAAACCTTCCAAATTAACCTGTACATTTTTAATGTGGTCCCAATCAAAATCCCAGCGGGATGTTTTTGTAATGTGATTCTAGACTTAAATTCCATCTGTACAAGTAAATATAAGAATATTCAAGCCAGAATTTTAAATGAAGAATAATATTTCAATAATATTATAAAACTGTGATAATAAAACAGTTGGTGCTCAGATAGGAAAGGCTAGATCAACAGACCAGAGTAGGAAATTTAGAAACAAAATTAGGTGTGAATGGTAATTCAGTTATTATAATAGATTACTAAATGATGTTGGAATAACTCACCTGTGATTTGGAAAACAATTCACCCAAATGGCTTGCCAAGTGTTCAAGTCACAGTCAATTGTTAGTACAAACAGCAAATGCATCTGTGAGCTCATCCACGAGCACAGTGGTCTTTCAGGGCTGAGGGCACATTAGTGTACAAGAGGGAGTAAAGTGTGTTTTCTGGATGTTGGCCCACTCACCTGCTCATTTAATACGCCCAAGAGTCTTGTGTCTCATCAAGGAAGTCTTGTTGCGTCTGCGTGGGAGTTGTGTTATCTGAGAGCCTCTTTTTTGAGCACATAGGGTATGGTGGCTAAATGTTCGGTCTAACAGCTGAGTTTGCATTTGGGGAGAGGCTGGTCCTTCTCCCAGGGGAGAAAAAAAGTCAACCAAGGACAAGATGAAAGTGAAGAGCAATTTACAATGAATTCACTGGTAGGTTTTTTGGAAAGGATTCAAAATGAAAGATTGTGCAGAATTTTACTCAGTATGTTCAACAATAAAATTTAAACAAATTCCATTGTGATTAGTTGAGCGCCTAGAAAGGAGAAAGGAAAGGACAGGAGGAGCTTTGTAAAAGGAGCTGATGAGAAGTTCTGGAGATGGACGGTGGTGATGGTTGCACAATGGTGTGAATGTACTTAATGCCACCGAACTGTACACTTAAAACGGTAAATTTTATGTTTGCCACAATGGGGAAAAAACAGAGCCAGGAGGAGAGAAAGCTGGAAGAGAGTGCAATGGTGGGGAGAGGCCCCCTCCTCTCTCCCGGGACTCGCTCCCATGCCCTGTGACGCCCTGGGCTGCCAAGGCTCATGATCTCCATTCCAAATGCCCTCCTCCTGGACTGGCAGGGCACTTTCTCACCTGTTCCACGTGCCAGGAACTCAGCTTAGTAAACTCTGTTTTCTTCTTTCTCTTAGGGTGCTACCTCCAAGTGACTTGTTTGGGTCTCTGGAAAAGTGTTCTTAGATGTGGGACATCATCATCGCCCAGATGTTTGCGCAATTGCCTTGGTTGTCATCTCTACACTTGTTGGTGGCGGCGGTGGTGTAGCGTGGCAGGGAGGGGAGACAGAGACTTGAGAGATCACACCAGGTGTCCCTTGGCTGCTCTGTCCCCATCACTCTCCGCTGCCCTCTTACAGCACATGCTGTTGCCTCTCCTGGACCGCTCTGACTTGTCCCGCTCCCAGCCCAGCCTGGGTTAGACAGCTCTGTTCTGTGCTCAGGTTGGCGGTTTACAGCTAGTCAGTGTGCATCACATGCCTGAAAGTGCCTGAGTTGTGACTCTCTCCTATCATACCTGAAGCTCTTTGAGAGCAGAGACCAACTTGTATTCAAGCTGGTTCTCTCATCCCTGTTGATGCCTCACATGGAGAATCCACTCGAATTCTTGCTGAAAGCACGAAGCCTGAACCTCTTCCTTGTAAACTCGCAGCCTCTGAGGCACAAGCCCTTCTGTAGCCCGCCCGATCACGGTAAGGAGTGGTGGAAGGGGGCAGACACACACCTGCTGCCCTGCGCCCGCGCCTTCCCCCGAGGCCCAGCGCCGCGAGCTCCCGCGAGCGCAAATCCGGACGGGCGCTGGAGGGCGGACACGTGTGGGGAGGCTCCTCGGCGCGGGAGCTGAGGTTCTAGCTGTCCCCGTGAGGCCTCTGCTCACACCTCTGCTGGAATCCTGATAAGGCTTCAGAAAGGACAGAGGCTGCCACGGGGTCTACACACAGGAATCATTTTCACTCACTCAATAAGTACAAAGTATAATGTAAATATATACATCCACCAGACTCAAGTGTTTGCATTTCCCTGAAGTTTGTGGATATAGAAACATACGTATAATATAATCTTAGTGAAAATTGTAAATGGAAGATGCAGAGAAAATGAAGAATTTGCATAGTAATTCACATTACTGAATTTTTTCTTACAAATCATACAACATTATTATTCCTGTTAGCAGTGGGCAAACTGAAGCTTACTTATAAAACAGGGTAAGGCTACATGCCTTGGGTCTCACAGTTGTACGTGAAACTGCTGATTCAGACTCAAGTGTCTGACTCCAAGCTACATATTTCTTTTTCAGAGGAAGCATTGCAGCGAGAATAAATCAATCAGGAATGATCCATATCAGCAAAGGAATGCAGTATATTTGAAATAATGCAATTATTACTTCTACACCCATTCCTGCCAAAACTCACTAAAAATATGATTAGAGGTTTGGGGTGGGGCAGAAACCTCTGGCATGTGGTCTTATCTTGCATAAGCTTTCTGTGTCAGAGTATTTGAGAAAAACAAGATACACGCTCTTTCAAACACAAATTTTATATGGGTTTAAGAAACCAGCAACGTATAGTTGAGAAAGACTAACACTAATTTTAATTTTTTATCATTCCATAAGCAATATATGTGCAGGATAGAAAATTAAAAAAATAAAGATGTATAAAGAAAATGGTAAAATCCTATTTAATCCTGCTACCAGTACTAACTACAGACAGCATGCTGGCACATTGGACCACGAGCGTGTGTTGAAGGAGAGAAGGCATTTCCTTCCAGTCTCTTTTCTAGTGTGTGCATGTATGTCGTTGATGTAACTGAACCCGTATCACGTCATATCTCTTTTCCATGTAACATTTTGTCACAAATGTGGCAAATACAAATTGCCCCCCAGAACTCAGGAAAGCAAGGAATACAACTTTCTTTTCCTTACTGCACTTCCTTCTATTTTGGGCCCCCATCTGACAGTGGAAGGTTAATTTCTGTCAGCTGGCTCTTTCTCCCTTGGCTCCAAGTCACCTCTTGGTTCCTGAAGACTGTCTAATGCCACGGCATGGGGTGGGTGCAGGCAATCCCCACCATCAGCGTTCCAGGAACGCTGCTCAGATGGCACCAGGGCCTCAGGGCTCCCTCCACCCTGGGAAGGGGCCCAGGGTCCATCTGGTGTCACTGTGAGCGTCTCTCCCTGGAGTTGCATGCAAAGACCAGGGCGCTGGGGCGCTTTGCTCTCTCAGATCTCGCTGGGGACTCAGGACACAGGGCCCTCTGGTGAGACCCACTGATGTACACTAAGAAACAATACTACTGCAATGAGCCTTTCTGTAAAATCTTTGTCAAAAGTTCCGTTATTTCCTATGATAGCTTCAGAAGGTGGAATCACTGAGACAAAGAGTAGGAGGATGTTACCCTCTTGACAGGCTTGATCAGATTGTCTCCAGAGAACACCAACCTAATTCCCGCCATCACGCTGTGGAGGCCTCTGCCCGGAGCACCCTGGCGGGCAGGGGCACTCAGTATAGCCTTCCTCAGACAAAGAGGTGATTTTGTCTGTTTGCCCACTGAGCTTCATTCCTTTCAGTTACAAGGGCAGCTTTTATTGAGAACCCATTCAATGCAAAGCATGAATCTTCGGTACTTAAGGATGCTGAGCCTCAGTTTCTTTATCTTCAAAAGAGGGCAAAGAGACCAGGCGCACCCTGCAGAAATGAGAGCAGAGGCAGGCAGCAGGACCTGCAAAGTTCTCTCTGCAAAGAGCTTGGTCCCTAAGCAGGTGGGGGTGTGGAAGCCCACAGAACCTTCATGCGGGAGGGTCTTAAAGTTCCCCTAGTCTAAGCCTTCCCTCTATGTGAGGAAACGGCCTAGAGAGACACGGGGGCTGTGCAGCCTGGACTGAGCCCCTTCCTCTGCCGAGGCCAGTGTTCTTTCCATCTGTCTCACGGGAGGTCGGCCTCACCCCCAGACCCAGAGGGGCTGGGCGCGCTGTGCCCTCTGTCCTCAGACAGGGCTCCTGGGGTCACTTGCTCACACTGTGTACTCTAGGTGACACACCGCTCAGGTGAACCCCCTTTCCTAGGACAGCAGGCCCTCACCTGTGTACTGGACAGACAGGCCGACACCAGACAGGCAGCATGACTCTTCGGAACGGTCCCTTTGCTGGGCTCAGGTGGCCTCCCCAACCTAGGGCCTCCCTTCTGTCTTCCTGCTCCCAGTTACAACGTTCTCTGCTTTCCACTGAGGACGACTCAGCGGAGCAGGGAGCAATTGAGGAGTCTCGGCACCACTCCTGCTTCCACATTGGTTCATGTTTATGGCAGTCTACTTAGGATGGGCTTTCCTCATTAATTTCTCTTTTGCCTAATTTCTTGGCAAGCTCCAAAGGGCTCTGGAGGCCTGTTCATCACCCCACTACAACCTGAACTGCTAAACAACAACACACACACACAATCGTGAGTACTCCAAGCATTCTTAACTTTGGGATTTTGGGGGGTGTGACATTTTGAAGTTATTATTTCATGAGATGATTTTCTTCTTTTAATGGAGGAGGAAACCAGCGCTCACCGGATCCCTGTGTGCACGGGCACTGAAACATGTACTTTATATAATTCTGCCCTCTCTTTCTCACAACCATCCTTGGTATTCCCATTTTACTGATCAGGAAATCAGTCAGAGAGCCAACAAAAAGTAAAACGAAGATTGAAATTCAGATCAAACTCTGTTTTCTGCTATGTGCTGTTGCTACTTCCAGGAATGTTATCTTAAAGGATTTGCACATTCTGAAGTGTGGTTCTGTTACAAGTGACAGTTTGCTCCCCGGGAACCAGAGCATCACTTTGACATTTACAGTGGCTCATGAGAATTGATTAGCAACTTAATAGCCATTTCCTCACAAGTCCTGGAATAAAGGAACATAGAGAAGAGAGAGTCAGGAGGTTGTTGGGTTTGATCCGCTAAAGCTAGTAAGCAGAAACGAGTCTCGATGGGGTGAGAGTCATGGGTTGGTGACAAGGAATAAACAAGGAAGCAACAGCAAGTCCATCACCAGGCCCAGGATGAAGGGTCCATAGGGAGAGTGACAAGAGTGACTCTGGCCAGGTACTGAGGCAGGGCTCGTAAGTGTACTGAATTAGCTAGAACTCGTTTTACTAGGAAAGAAAGCACCAGCGAGTTAAGTGACCCGAATATACACCTAGACCCACAAATGACCTGAGGCAGATAATTCTACCTCTATGACTCAAATACTCTCTCTGTAAAATGGGAGAAATAACCTGTACTCAGTAATGCGCTCCCACTACTTCCTAGAGATGTTGGGAGAGCTTCTGGAGGCCCTTCTTAACCCGTAAACCTGATTATGCCCCAGTATACAGCTCTCAAGTTCTTTATTTCTTGCATCCCAGAACCACAGGAAAAGAAGCTTTCCGACATAAAACACAGAAATTACACAGAGCTACCTGAGTTAATTCTATAATTCAGTTTCTACCAAATCCACTACCCTTGTTCGTTATAGATTCATAAAACTAAAAGGTCTTCGAGATGACTCAGTCTAGTGGTGGCAAATGGGCGGCGTGCACGTCCTGCCCGCAGTGTCCAGCACCCAGGTGGACATTATCATTCCATGTGGGCACTCTTCCTGGAGCCTGACAACAGCACTCCACCAGCCACTGCCGACTGACTGCGGCCAGCATCCGAATGGAAACCAAGTTGCCCCTCTGATCTAGTCCAACCCTTTCCTTTCGTAGAAGAAGAACCAGAAGTCTAGAGAGAGTAAATGCTGAAACCAGGGTCTCACAGTAGTAAGCAGCAGAGCCAGGACCGAAATCTAGGCCTCTGGCTTCTTGCTCCACATCCATGTCTTTTTTATGCCTTTAAGGCTAGTGAGACCCAGCTCGACTAAATAATTCATTTATTCAGTAAGTAATTACTGAGAACCGTCTATGTAGCAGGCATTATGCCAGATGAATGACTGATCCCCTTGATCCAGCGAGGGAGGAATTTCATAAACCACAGGCCTTTTTACACTCAGCATGGGCTGGATCAAAATTCGACTAGACAGATAGACAGATGGACAGATAGCATGGCATCACTGGTTCTGGGGACTTCAGAAATATCTCTGAAAAAGAAGTTTACAAAGTGAATGCTAGTAAGATGCCAGGGACTACCGCCCACCGCAGCGGCCTTGCTTATGTGTCCTTTGGTCCTCTGGCCTTTCCTGGGCATCGCGCCATAAGAATTTATACAGAACGTGAGTTTACACAGTTTCGATGGAAAAACTATTATGGAAGGAAATTGGGTACCTTGTTCCAAGTCTTATCTCAAGGTTTAGGAGAGAAAAAAGATGTAATCATCATAGCTCTTGGTTACATTTAAATTATCAACCATGAATAAAATGTCAGTGGAAGGTCAGCTGCCCTCTCTTCCCCCTGGTTATTTATAGGGAAAATAGCACTGAACCAGGTACCAGAAGACCTGGGTTCCACTTTTGTTCCTCCCCCAGGCAGCTGGTGACACCAGATGAATCACTTCAGTATCGCTGAGCCTCTGACTTTGTGCCCCGACTGCCTGGCAAGGTTGTTATTAGGATTAATAATAATAATAAAAGCTCCCACTGCTATTGTGATTTGCCATTTGCAACACTCTTTCACAACAACCCTGAGATGTGGGTAGGGAAGTTTTAATTACCCTCAATTAAAGATGAGAAATCCACATCTCAGAGAAGTTAAGTAACTTGCTCAAGGTTGGTCACCCAGCTAGAAAGTGGTGGCTGTGGGAGCAAGCTTTCTGCTGTCTTGTGTGGGACACACTCCCCTAAGTGCTTCTCCAAGGGAGGCGGCCATGATTAGAAACCCCTTCCACACTCCGTAGTGTCATGGATGCACAGGGACCTGATGGTGTGCTAGTGCTCTAGGAGAGGACTGGAAATATTTGAGTGGCTCTTGGTAGGTTTTCTAGGAGTGGAAATGAGGACAGGCTGTTTTCAGTGAGAAGTTTCTCTGCTGTGCTTACAGACTCCACGTTTGTTTGCTCCAGTCTGCTCTACTTCTTTACCACGTTAGTAACTGTCTTCACACGTGTCCTTACAGTTTTCCTCTAAAAGGCACAACACACACACACACACACAAGCCACTTGATCACAAACGTACATTGCAGTGGAATGACCCTATATCAAAATCCTTAGACAGTAAACAGCTTCTTAAAGAATTAAGTCATGTCTTAGACATAGGTTATTGCAGCACAATGCCTAGGAAAAGATGAGAAAAAGAAAGAGAAAATACACGCCACTTGGGTTAGCAGTCTCTTTCTGTGCCTGCCTGGCTCTGTGGTGCTGGTAGACATGTTAGATTTGGCAAGGAGGCAGCAGGGACCACAACCGCCATCTCCCCAACCCTCTGGGAGTCTATACCCCCAGCACACCTTTCCCAAATGTAGACCATCTTATCCTGTGCATAAAGAAGTCACTGTGTGCTCACCACCTCCTGCAGTGGGCCAGAGGGAGAGGCTGCCAACAGACTCAACACATGGCAGTGGTCTCTCCTCTTGGCTTTATCAGTAGACAGTAACTCTAAAGCAGTGGCTTGCAAACTGTTAAATATGTGTGTGTGGGCATGCGTGTGTATGAGAGGAACAAAAACCAATATGCTACATGTCACGTAATTTGAGATTTCCTAGCCTATTCTATTTCACATAAATGAAATGCTGGTTGCAACTTAATGTATTGATCTTTTGACCCTCCAATGGGTCATGACCCACACCACCAAGTGGCATCTTTCAAAGGGCAACCTCATCACCCCCTGCATAGCAGAGAGCAAACCCCTGCTGCACGGGAGGGGAGACCGGGCTCAGGGCAGTGACACAGTCAGTCCAAACCCCACTCTGCAGCTCAAGGTCCCTTGCACCTCACATTTTCTTCCCAGAGCCTTCTTCCTACTCACTCCCACCAGGCCTGGCCTCCCAGCAAATCTCCCTGCCTCCAGG